GCGGCAGGCGGCTCTACCTACATGTGGCCATGGGATGGTGGAAGATAAAGCAGGTTCCCCTCAGGCACGGCCTCCCTCAACCTTCCCTCAGGCTCTAAAACTGAGGTCCTGACCTCGGGTTGGGGGTATTCAGGAGTTCTGGGCCAGGAGCTCCTTACTTTAGTAATAGTCAACCCTGTTCCTGTTTCTGGTCCCCTTTAAAACCTTGGCCCTGGGACCAGCAGTTAGCATAATGGCTATGTCACTGGACTCCCATGTAGTTGACCACGATTCGAGTCCTGGACCTGGAGACTTAAACTCATGCCAGGTGCATGTGCGTGCATGCCCAAGATCCCAAGAGGAGAATGGAGGAGAAGGGATTGTGGCATGGCCATCTTCCCTGGGGAGTGATTTCTTGCTTTCTGTCTCTCTGTCTCTCTGTCTTTCTGGCGAACGCATGCACCCTATAGCAAAAACCTCTTAAAATAAAAACAAAACCAGGCCTTGAAGTGACAGCATCTTGCCTTGTTTCTTGCACTCAAGACCTCAGTCCCATGAAGTTTGCTCCCATCTGAGATGACAGGATGGATACCTTGTTTGCCTGGGGCTTGTCCTGCGCCCCTGCAGCTTTTGCAAGATCTGGTGGGGCCTCCTTTGCCTGTGCTGTGTCACCCACTGGGTCCTGGTGTCTCTGCCTCCTCCCCAGGTCTAACACTCTCTCAGGCCTGCCTGCCTGAGGGTGGATGCTGCCACTCTTGGTCCCTGCATGTGCTCCAGCCTCTTGCTGTGGCTCAACTTGTCAGCTGCTCTCTCTGCCACACTCTAGGGAGCACGAGACTTTGTCCCTAGCTGTCATGGTCTGAATGTGTCCCCTAAACTTATGTGTAACTGAATTCCCAAGGCCACAGTGTTGGGAGGTGGGGTCTTTGGGGAGGTGTTCAGGTCATGAGGACTTCACCACCCACCCCTGAATGAATTAAGGCTGATAAGGGCTTTCTAGGAGTGGGTCCACTCTCTTGCCCTTGCACGTTCCCCCATGTGAAGTTGCAGCGAGAAGGCCTCAGCAGATGCCAGGACCTTGACTGTGGGCTTCCCAGCCTCCAGAACTGTTCTTTGTACATTACCCAGTCTCAGGTACTTTATTGTAGCAGCACAAATGGATTAAGACACCAGCCCTGCTGGTGCTGCTGTGGCCTCCACGTGGCCCCCAGCTGAGGCTGTGCACATGGCAGCCCCGGTAGCTAGCTCACACCACCATCATCACCATGCAGGCTGCCCTCCGTTTGGCTACATCTGGGTTCCTCAGAGCAGGTGGGAGCTTCAGGACTCTCCATGCATGATATGGAGCAGCAGGAGACTTGGCAGACCCTGTCCCTCTTTTCTACCGTGTGACCCTCTGCTTCCTATTGTGGTGTGAGCTCCCCCGGCTGGTGTTTATTCTGCTCTCAGCAACATGAATCTATTGCTCATAGTTCTGGAACCTTGGAGTCCAAGATCCAGGCACCAGCAGACTCGGTGTCTGGTGCAGGCCTGCTTCCTGGCTCTCAGACAGCTCCTTTGCTGTGTCTTCACATGACGGAAGGGAGAAGTCTGGTGTCTTTAGCCTCTCCTGGGGGCACCATCCTCCTCGTTACCTCGCAAAGTCCCCACTTCCTAATACCATTCTACTGGGGTCAGGATTTCAATATACGATAGCAGGGCGGGGCGGGAGAGTGTGTGCACAAACTTTCAGTCCATTGCCATCAGGGAGCCTCCTCTGAGTCATGGGCTGGAGACAGCAGATGGAGCTGAAACCCCTCTTCTCTTAGTACTGACCTGACCCCATCCAGAGCACTTGTCCCCTCAAGGTTGGCAGCCCAGGGACCAGCACTTGGCATAATGGCTATGTCGTTGGACTCCCATATAGTCAACCGTGGTTCAAGTCCCAACTCAGTGGCTTAAACTCACACCAGGCGCGTGTGCATGTGTGCCCAGGATCCCTAGAGGAGAATGGAGGAGAAGGGATTGCGGTGTGGCCATCACCCCAGGCATGATTTCTCACTTTCTATCTCTCTGTCTCTCTCTGTCTTTCTGGCGAGCACACACAACCTCTAGCAAGAACCTCTCCAAAAAAAATGATTGGCAGCCCACTAATGGGAGATCTGTCCTCTCTCCCACTCCTGCACTCCATGCCCTCCCCATAACTCACAGACCACAGGCCCCTAACATGAAATGTGCTCACCAGTGGGCAGGCTGCCCTAGCAGCCAGGAGCACAAACTGCAGTCAGACTGACTGGAGTCATAGCCCTGCATCTATCTCTTCCATGAGAAGTATTACTTAGAGTAACATTGGCACGGAGTCACCAACAGGGTAAACAAACAAGACACAAATTCAAAATTATTAGGTCCACTTCACAACCCAATGAAATTCAGTCATCAAGACTTTTGTGTGGCTAGCCATGAAAGCCTGTGTTGCATAGTAGAACATAGATATTAAGGTGTTCTTGGGACCAGCAGTTGGCGTAATGGCTATGTCGCTGGACTCCCATGTAGTTGACCGTGGTTCAAGTCCCGGACCCGGTGGCTTAAACTCACACTGGGCGCATGTGCGTGCATCTTCAAGATCCCAAGAGGAGAATGGAGGAGAAGGGATTGAGGCATGGCTATCCCCCCTGGGGGGGGGTGATTTCTTGCTTTCTGTCTCTCTGTCTCTCTCTGTCTTTCTGGCGAGCGCACATGCCATAAAGCAAAAAAAAATAAACCTCTCAAAAAAAGAAAAGTGTTCTTCCCCTTGTCTCCTTGCTTCATCACCCCTAAAACCACCCAACCAAGGCACTTCCCAGCACCACCCCACCTCTTCCCTGTAAAAGTGGAGCTTTAGGCCCCCTCAGGGGGAGGTTACGTGTGGAAGCACATAATACACATTTTTACATTTTTATAATTCAAAAATTCTCCCCTCTTTGAATACATATTTTATATTATAAAAATTTTTTTTTCTAAGAGAGAGTTACACCCTCAACAGGTCTTCACACTGTGGTCCACCCCAGAGTCAACCAGTTCAGATCATGAGCACACACACATACTCAGGGAGCTCCTGGGATATGAACCTAGGGCCTTTCCATGTGGGTTCAGTTGTGTTACTGCTGCACCACCACCTTGCCTTGAATACATTTTTTTTGAGAGAGAGAGATTTAAGGTGCATGTGCTTGCTGAATAGACACAGAGAGACAGAAAGTGAGAAATCACCCCCCCCCCAGGGGAGATGGCCATGCTACAATCCATTCTCTATTCGCCTCTTGGGATCTGGGCACACACACACATGAGCCTGGCATGATTTCAAAGCCTGCAGTTTGGGACTCGAACCACAATAGGCCATGTGGGAGTCCAGCAATGTAACCATTATGCCATCTGCTGGTCCCTTTATTTGAAATGAGACTTTGGATAAAATGGTTTTGAGTCTTCTCTGAACATACAGTTATTCAGTGGAGGGCAGCGTGGACTCCCTGTGGGCCTCAGGCTCTGGATGAAATTTACCTTGGCGTTTCCAGTTCTGTGCTTTTCTTCCCTAACCAACGAAGCCCTCTCTGTAGGTGCAGCTGAAAAGTGACCATTGAAACAAAATAGTTTCATTTCTCTTTAACTATAAAATGCTAGTTCTTCCCCTCTACCCAGTAAGGCTTAGGGAAACCAGCAATTTATCCCAGAGGAGGACTTTTTTTTGGAGAGGTTTTTACTATAGGGCACGTGCGCTCACCAGACAGACAGAGAGAGACAGAGAGACAGAAAGCGAGAAATCATCCCTCAGGGAAGATGGCCACGCTGCAATGCCTTCTCCTCCATTCTCCTCTCGGGATCTTGGGCACGCACGCACACGCGCCTGGCTGAGTTTAAGCCACCGGGTCCGGGACTCTAACCGTGGTTGACTATGTGGGAGTCCAGCGACATAGCCATTACACTAACTGCTGGTCCCCAGAGAAGGACTTTCGAAGGAGAGGTGAGAAGCACACGCTGGGCAGGGGTTAGGATGTAGCCACTCCCTGAAGGACTGGAGAGTGGCTGAACCAACTCTCACACCCGTGAGATGTGCTTATTTAAATAAAAGTATCAGGACTGGGCAGTAGCACCTGGTACGTTTCCTGGCTCCTATCTGGGGACCTCCTATCTGAGTATACTCGTCACACATGTGCCCACGATCCGGGGTTGGTGAGGCTGGGATGATCATGGCCTTGGGGCCCTGGTGGGAGTGCCACCCTTCTCACATGAAAGAATTAAATAAAGAAACAAACTTAAAAGAAGAAGAAAGAGGGAAATAGCATGTATGTCTTCGCACTTGGTTATACTTGTATGGAAAGATACAGAAGAACTAGGATGGAGGGGCAAAAGGGTGGGAATAATACAGTTCACTTTTTAAAGTTTGGATTTTGTGGGCACAGAGTTCAAGGCGACTGGACCCCACGAGACCAATTGCACAGTTTGAGTCCTGGACCAGCAGCTTGAGAAATACATCAAGTGCATGTGTGTGTACACCCAAACTCCCAAGAAGAGAATGGAGAAGAAGGGATTGCAGTACGGCCATCCCCTTGGGGGGCGAGGGGATGATTTCTCTCTCTCTCTCTCTCTTGCAAGCATATGTGCCCTATGGCCAGACTAAAAGAAAAATTGGATTTTGTACGATAACTATATTACTATTTTTAAAAAATTGAATTACAACAGACGAGTAAGTGAACGGTTTGCTCCACTCCACCATCCATAGTGTATGGGAACAGAGACCTGGAGATGGTTGGAGCATTTAATTACTTAATTAATTTTTAATTATTTATTTATTTTTATTTGTTCATTCATTTTCTTTTCATTAGACCAGAAGAGACACACACAGAGAGAGAGAGAAAGAGGGGAATTAAGAAAGCAAGCCACGCGGTCCAGGACTCGAACCACCATTGGCCATGTGGGAGTGTCCAGCACCTTAACTACCATGCCACCTGCTGGTCCCTGTTGGAGCATTTTATAGGTGCTGAAACAGCCCAGAGAGTCCTAGGACTTACCTAAAGTCACACTCTCGGTGGTAGGATCAGCCCCAGACCTACTGCCTCCCGCTCCGAGTCCTCTTTGCCACACCTCCTTCGATGTGAGACTCTATTTGCTGCAGTGCCCACGTGGGTGGAGTGAAGACAAGTAGCCCCCTGCTCCTCTCCTGTTATTTGGCAACTCCAGAAACCAGATGCATGGGAGGAAGCATCGATCTCTCCTGTGTAACAGGCCCGACCCCAGGGTCATATGAATGGCCCATCTGGGTAGAAAGGCTATTGTGTGTGAGGCTCCCCGATGTGTCCAGAGGTCCCCAACCCTCTCCTAGTCTGTCTGACCTCCCAGGATGCAGCTGGCTTGTTTCCTCTGATGACTCAGCAGGAGAAAAAGCTCTCGAAATAGCACTGGAGAATGCAGGGCAACCGTGGCCATCTGGGGGAAGCACCATACCCAGAGATATGTGTTTTCAGCTTCCGGCCAGTCGGGCATTACTCCAACCTCAAGCTTTTTAAGACAGAAAATTTCCGTTGGAAAGTGCCTGAGAAATGACCCAACCCAGTGCTTCTCAAACCCAAAGTGCACACCATCTCCCCAGGGCCTCATGACGGTCACTGGAGGGTCTGAGAATCTGCATATCTCACACGTTGTCCTGCGAGAACAGTGCTGCTGTCACTTTAAATTTATGGATACAGGAAAGGAAGTCCCAAGGGACATAGAGGCCCCTCCAGTAGGCTCACATCTTAGCTCTGCTCAGAGTGCATTTTTCCCACAGTCAGCATGCCTTGACCTTGAAGAATAAGAGGGAACTTCAATGGGGCCAGCAGGTGCTGTGGTGGTTAAGGCAGTAGGCTTCCACATGGCCAATCGCAGTTCAAATCCTGGACCTGGTGGCTTGAAAATCACACTGGGCATGTGTGCGTGCATGTCCAAAATTCCACAAGAAGAATGGAGGAGAAAGGATTGCAGCGTGGCTATCTCCCCTGAGGGGTGATTTTTCACTTTCCCTCCCACCGTCTCTCCCTCTCTCTCTGTCTCTCTGCACATGTGTGCAGCAACCATTAAAAAAAAGTTTTTAAAAGAGGGAGCTTCAAAAAGTTCATGGAAAATGCAATTAAAGTATAATTTTATTTGGAACCAAAATGTTCTTGAAATTCATGATTTTGGGGGGGGGGGGGGGGGCGTTTGCCATGGAGCGCACGT